TTCTTTCTTTCTTTCTTTCTTTCTTTCTTTCTTTCTTTCTTTCTTTCCTTCCTTCCTTCCTTCCTTCTCTCTCTCTCTCTCTCTCTTTCTCTCTCTTTCTTTCTTTCTTTCTTTCTTTCTTTCTTTCTTTCTTTCTCTCTCTCTCTCTTTCTTTCTTTCTTTCTTTCTTTCTTTCTTTCTTTCTTTCTTTCTTTCTTTCTTGCAACTGGACTAAATATCCAAAGGCCCTTCCCTTCAGAATGCAGAAGCATTCTGGGTAAGAAAAAAGGAGATGCCCCTTTACATGGCAGCCCTATACATGACCTCTGTCCAGAGGGGGAGGGGGGTAAAAAGAAACACTCCTAGAGACACAGCACCAGAAAGGCCCCCCAACTCTCCCCTCCCTCCACACGGTAGAGTCTGAGTTGACAGAGGGTCTGACAACAGTGGGAGCAGGCTGGGCTTGGTGGTCCCCAGAGCTAATGATGAAAAGCGCTCCCCCTCCCCAAGCACTGTCCAGTCCTTTGGTGAGGACGGATATGGCTCCCACACCCAGTGGTCACAGCCCCTTGGAAGTGGGGCACACGCTAACAATGATACAGAGAAATGGGGCTCCAGCCCCTGACTCTACCCCTCCAGGAGGTGAGCGAGATTTCACAGAACAGACAAGAAAATCACGAAGGGGGCCTCACTGACCACCCCACGATGTTGTTATTGCTTTGGAGCCAAGTGCTCCTTCATGCTATCATGTTCTCTCTCTCTCTCTCTCTCTCTCTCTCTCTCTCCCAGACAAACCAGAGCTGAGCCCCTCCCCTCTGGTTGTGACAGCCAGGCTCTGTCTCACCCTGAACAACCATAGCAGTGACAGCCTGGGAGGGAAGGCACCCTCCTGGCTCAAAATATTCCAAATGGTGAGTAATAACCTAATAGCAGAGATATCATACCAGTCGGGGGGGGGGGAATGGATGATGGCTAGGTGTGAGCCTCAAATGGGAGCTCCTCCAGAGCCCTGCCCCATTGTCCAGGAGGCTTGCCCCTCCACAGTCCTGAGGCCACTCTGAAGACCAGTTGGAGGGGCCTATCCACAGCTCCTTCCCTGTGTAGTGTCAACAGCTGTGTGTGGAGCTGACAGACCTGGACGAGAGCCCTGAAGGGCACTCAGGGCTCAGCCAGGCTGGGAATGGGGAGCATTCTCAAGGGGAAAGGATCCCTGGTAGAACCAGGAACAAGGTTGGCATTCAACAGAGCCCTGGCATCCTTGGTGGAAAATGACACCCTCTAGTGTAGTCCAGGCCCCTCTGCAAGGCCCAGCAATCCTAGGAGTGCATCCTTAAAAGAAAATCAATGCCAAGGGTATTACCCCAGAATGCTGAGTACAATGAATAGTTTGGGCTACAGCCCTATAAGGGAGGAGTGAAGGCAAGGAAGAGAAGATGGAAGGGCTGGCCTTTGGGGAGCCTGGCAGCCCATCCAGCCCAGGCTAGAGAGAGAGTCTGTAATCTTCTGGAATGTACTGGGGTCTCTCCTATACCCCCCAGCCTGGGGCTTGCAAATAAGACTACATCTGTGCTAACAGGCCTCAGGCATGAACGCTAACTACCCAGATGACCTGGACTACACCCTACACAGCAGGGATTAAGTGAAGAGGAGTGAAGGGCTGCTGGGTGCCTCCCAGGAGGGGTGACAGAAATGTGCTTCTATAGGGGCCAGTGTCCTCCCTTGCATGCAAAAGGGCTCCTGCAGGCCCTAGGGAGGGCCACAGGAAGGCAGCTACCCAGGCCTCATTGGAGCATCTAATTCCTACACTCACGGCTCTGCAGCCCTCCATTTGTACCGCCATCTCTCCTTGAGCCAAAGTGATGAGGCTGGGCAGTGGCTTCTGCCCTTCATACAGGATGGTTTATTTAAAAAGACTAAAATGGGAGGGGCTCTAATGCCTCCCCAGGACCCCTGGCCCAGAGGCCGAGGGATTAACAAGATGACCTTTGATCTCATCCAACAAGGAGGGGTTCTCCTGTTTGGGAAACCCTTACCTTGGTACCGCTAGACTTAATCCAAGCTTTCTTCAGAGCTCCACTCCCACTACCCACCACACGTGAAAGTTGCTCCCTGTGTGCAGGGTGCTGGAAACTCAGGTCCCCACAGTCCTCTACCATATCACAGATGACAGCGCCCTTTCCAGTCCACCAAGAGCTCCAGACCAGATTGCTGCAAGGACCCCTGGGGATCTATGCCAGGTCTCAGGTGCCTCCTCCTTTCCTTGAATCTCTGCTGGCCCCCCATTCCTAGAACTCATGGCAGAGGGGCGGGCAGGCAGAGGGGCAGGAAGGGATGGATGGGTGGACTCAGACAGGCTGCGGCAAAGCTCCTTCCACGGGCAGGCAGAGGGAGACCCACACTCCCCTTCAACTGGGGAGCTCAGGTCCCCCGGGAGCTGGCTCCGGATCCTTGCACACTGCCCCATCAGCTCTGGGGCAGGAGTAGCTGCCTGAACCCGGTGCCGCAGGAAAGACACTTGCTGGTAATTGGCACCATGGAGATGGCCGGCTTGGTTCTGGACTTGGCTCTGGGCAGCGAGCATCCAAGGAGGCAAAAGGGGGATAAGTGGGGTGGGGTAGGGCAGGACAGTGGTTTGCTCTGCCACCTCAGTCTTTCTCTGGCTGTAGCTGCGCCCACCAGGTCAAAACCGGCCAAGTCAAAAGTGTAGCCAACCCACTGGGAGAGGGAAGGTCTCAGGGGTAGGAGGTGAAGGAGGAGTGAGGAGGGGCCCAAGGGGGGCAGGTCTCCCCATTCTGCTTCCCCACTGTGGGGAAGAACCCCATCCTCCAATGTCCAATGTGCCCCTGGGCCTGGGGTCCCAGGTCAGGGCTGGGTGGTCTCCAGGCCATCTCGGGGGGAGCCCCTCCCCATCCCTGGCATTAAGATCGCTCGCCACATGGCCCCACGGTGCTCTCGAGGGACAGCTGGGATGCCTGCCGGAGCAGGGGGCCTGTGGCTGGGTCCACCATGGAGGAGGTGGGGAAGAGCTTGTACCAGCCCACAGCCAGCGTGGTCAAGTCCAGTTCCTCCAGCAGCACTCGGGCCACACCCATGAACTGCTTCCGCTCCATCCGACCATAGTTTCCCCATACAATCACCTGCAGGGCAAAAAAAGCAAGCAAGCAGACAAACAAAAAAACATGGCTGCTTACACCTTGCAGCTGAGAGCTGGGCAGGGCTGTACAGCTGGTGAAGCCTGAAGCCTGCCCAGACCCTGGCACAAGACCCTGGGTTTGATTCCCAGCACCACACAGGCGCCAGGTCCGAGAGCGGCACACAGACATATGTGCAGGCAAAACACCCATACACACAAAGGTAAGAATAAAAATAGATAAATGCGGGTCCCAGTCACTCTTAGGCCCCGACCCAGAGCCTGGGGCCCCTCAGCCAATGCAGCTGAGTTGTGTAGAGTCCCACCTCTTGAAAAATCATGCAGGAGGGCCCAGAAAGATGGCTTAGCAGGTAAGCAGCCTGCTGCCAAGCCTGATGACCTAAGTTCAGGGCTGGAACGGGTGAGAACGGACTCCCATGAGACATCATTGGACCTCAACATGCGTGCCATGGCATGTGTACCCCCCCCAGTTCCAAATAAATACAACATTATAAAAATCACTCAAGCCTGACCATGTTTCTCTGGCTCTAATGTCCCTATTACTGCCATCCTGTACCTTGGCTTTCTTGCTCTCTTGCCCTCGCTGTCCCTTCCTCCACATGGTCCCTTCTCTGAACGAAAGCCTTGAAGGATCTGCAGCATGATCTCTCTCCCTGCTTCCCACCTCCCCCAACCCCTGCCAACCCTGACAGGGAGCCTCAGAATCTCAGAACCCCACACAGAGCGTTTCCATAAAATGGAAATTCCAGTGCACAGTTATCTTCCTTCCTTGAACCAATCTTTCTCTGTAGGGTCTTCCTGGTCTCTTGGTCAGCACCCTCTTGGAGCAGCTGCAGGGTCCTCATGTGCTGTCCTGCACCTCAGCTTTTAGCTCTGCCCTCCACTATGAAGGTGGGCTGGCTTTACAAAGCGTAGAGGCTTAGGGGAGACCCCAGCCAGCCAGGATGTCACTGACTGTTTGCTTGCTTCTTGTTGTTAATCTTTTTAGAAGATTGGTTTTTATTTTATGTGTGGTATGTGTGCAGCTGCATGGGCGTGTGTGTGTGTGTGTGTGTGTGTGTGTGTACTGCTGCCTCCATGGGCTGGCAGAGGGCACTGGATCCCTGAAGCTGGAGTTATAGATGGTTGTGGGTTCTGGGAACTGAGCAGAGGGGGGTCCTCTGGAAGAGCTGTAATTGCTCTTAACTGAGCCATCTCTGCAGCACACACACACACACACACACACACACACACACACACACGAAGTGCTCACTAATGGCATCCATAAGGAGGTAAGAGGACAAATTTTGGGAATTAGTTCATTCCTTCCCCCAGGGGTGAAACACCCAAGACTCATGCGGAACCAAACTCATAGTGACATAGGAAGTTGCATGTGTAAGTCAGCTCCAGTGCTTCAATTCCCCTGGATACAGCCCTTGAGAGACCCTGCCCCCAAGTAACACACACATACACACACACACACACACACACACACCTCCCTTACCTGCAGGACTTTGCCCTGGGGACTCTCAGGAAACAGAAGCACCTGGTTGTACAGTGGGTCCAGTGACTTTCGGGCCACTTTGGTCTTCTTCTTGGCAATGCAGACACCATTCTCCAGCAGGTAGGCCTTGATGTAGGCAGCTAGGAACAGAGGGCAGAAGGCTGGGTTCTAGGATGTTCCTTCAAGTCCTGGCTAATAGGTGTGACTGAGAGGGGTCAATCACCTACTTGTGGGGGGCAGAGAACCCCCAGGAGTATAGGGAGGGTGGGCAGCATGTGCAGCCATGTCTGGGTGGGTGCCATGTGAGGTCACGTCTGGGCGAGCCCTCTTTCCTTCTAGTGGTCCTCATTGCCTCCTCCTTCCTTTGCTTAGTGTCTCTTCCCCCAGTCTGAGACTTGCCTACCATGCTATCCTTACGAGTTCATCATTTGCTGACCTCTCCACAAGTGCTTTCTGAGCCCCACTGTGTGCCAAGTACTCTACCAGGGAATAATGATAAACAAGAAAGATGTCTTTCTCTCTCCAAGAAGTTCTGTCTCTCAGCTGTCCCCACACCTGGCAGTGACTTGGAGCCTGGCTTGGCCGTCAGTCCCCGAGCCTGGATGATGTCCACCTCCAGCTGACCATTCCGTTCCTGCAGGCCAATCTCCACATCCCCTGCAAGAGACAACACTAGAAAGTGGCTCAGAAGCTCCAGCAGGGCCCTGCCGTCCCTCTACAGCCAATCCCAGCCCAAACAAGAGCACATTAAGTCCTATAGCTAGAGCTTGGACGCTGCAGAGGTAGGCACTGCAGAAGGCCGGACTGTGTGGCCCAGGCTCCAAGCCAGGGGCTTAGAGCATGGAGCCAACAGGCAAGGGTAAGGAGGGAAGGGCACAGGGCTTCAAATGCTTACCCATGGGTGTGGTCGCCAGGGTCTGGCGGCCCACAAACTGTGCTGGCCCCATGCTTCCCAGGAAGTCACTGAACTGAGCATCTGAGGCCAGGCAGACTCCTCCATAGTTTAGGCTGCAAGAAGAAGAAGATGTGGTGATCTTTTTTTGTTTGTTTGTTTTTTGTTTTGTTGAGCTAGGGTTTCTCTGTGCAGCCCTAGCTGTCCTGGAACCGACTCTGTAGACCAGGCTGGCTTGTCTCTGCCTCCCGAGTGCTGGGATTAAAGGTATGTGCCACCATGCGCAGCCTCAATGGTGAGCTTCATCCACACCCACCACTGACTTGTACCACACATGCTTATTTAATTATCCAGGGTGGCTGTAGGGACTCTAACAAGATGATTTTGGCAGGTGCTAGTGCAAAAGGCTTAATGCCTTGATACTCCAAGAGTGGTCCAGGGATCAGCAGCATCAGATACACCTGGGGCTGGCTAGAATCACATGATGCCCTCTGCCTGGTGGCTAGACTAGAATCAGAAGTTTAATGTGAGGCCACCTCAAGATAAGGCCTGGACTATTGATGCCCTGCGCATCAGCCTTCGACCCCAACAGGTACTGCTTTGGCTGTTTGGCTCCCAATAACCGTTTCGCCTTCCTCTGGCAATAAAATCTCCAATTTCCTTTAGGGAGAACTAGCTCTCAGGATACCTTTTTTCCTTGGCTATGGCCCAGCACAGGGCAGACACATGGCTCAGTTTAGTTAATGGATTCTGATATGGAAGCTTTTATGAACTGTGGGGGCCGTGACACTCCTGTTTTCCATCAGACGTGGGCCTAAGACGGCCCAGGGATGAAGGAAGCCACTATCAGACTGGGAATGTCATGTAGGCTTCTGAATCAAGCTTTGCCTAATAGTTATCTCCATTTGAATACATAAGTCGAGGACAGCTACTATTATTACTTTGCTTAAACCAATTTTAGCTAGTTTCCCTCTCTGCTTTACCTCCAGCCTTCCCTTTCCCACCTCTAACCTGGGAATGGCAACCCTCTCCTCCCCTCTCCAGGATCTCTTAAAGCCCTGAGATGAAGTGCTCGACACTCTGACAGATCTTTACCTGTAGGAACATGGTATCTGCAACCCATGTTCTCACCTCATCCTCACATGACAATAGGAGGTTGACTGTTTCTTTAAAACAATAACAAAACAAACAAACCACAAACCACTCTTTTCTACCATTGGTCACATGAGGAACACATTTGCTCAGTAAGAATGGAGACCTCTATTCTTGGGCAGAGATGATGGATCTGAGGCCAGACGCCTCAGCTGAGCCAGCTCACTCAACCACTCTGGGAATTAAAGGGAGACCCCCAGAGAGCTAGATTGGTCCTGGATGCCCTCACCAAGAGCTGAAGACTGCTGGTTCTTGGGTCAGGACTGCTTGGATCATCCCTCGACCATGGGAGGCAAGCAGCTCAGACAACAGCTTCCCTTCCCATGTAAGCAATGGGCAGAGCCATAGCAGGCACAGGACTCCACATCCATTCCCAGGGTTCCCTACTGCCCCTTGGATCATCCATCCAAGGGTAGCAGGGTGTCTGCAGGTCGCTTTATAAGAGGGGTAGCCCAGCAGGCCCAGTTCACAGACTGAGACTCAGCTTTGTGGCTTTTAAGTTGTAAATCTAAGAAACAGAAAGACAGGAACAAAAATGGTACAGTCCTGCCCAGAAAACAAACAACACACACACACACACACACACACACACACACACACACACACACAAAGCTCCAGCCCGGAGAGCCAGAGGGAGTCTGGTGAGGATGGAGTGAGCTGAGATCTGTATTCCCAGGTGATCTGGGGTGCTGAAGGACCACAGAAAACCCCAGATATGCTGTGGTGATCTGAAAGCAGCAAGTCTTACACCACCTTTCCCAGAAGGTGGAGCCAAGGAAGGGGCACAATGCCTGTAGAAATGGCTGCCTTTGAGTCTTCAAGTGACCTTGGGACAGTCTCTGAGGCCCCACCTGTCCCTCCATAGCCATGATACTAAAGTTGCATATACCCTTGAGAAAAAGATCCGTGGAGGCTGACAGTCTGCTAAAGGAAGGTGGCTGAGAGCAAAGAACTGATGACTAAGGAGCAGGCAGCAATGGCCACACGCTGGAAGACACTGGAATGATGGATGACGCCCATGGACCACACAGCCTCCCTCCATGGTCTCAGCAGCACAGCGATGACAGTCATCACTGATCACCTTGCAAGGATACAGACATCTCAGCCAGCGCTTAGATGATTCGGCCATTCGCCAAATGCACATCCCTGGCACTGTTCTGGACCTAGACCACATCAGAAAACCAGGTAGACTCACAGGTACATAACAAAAAAATAGTGTGGGCTGGAGAGATGGCTCTGTGGTTAAATCGCTGGCTGCTCTTGCAAGGACCCAGGTTTCATTCCCAGCACCACATGGTGGCTCACAGCTGTCTGTAACTCCAGTTCCTGGGGTCTGATGCTATCTTCTGACCTCTGTGGTCACCAGGCGCACACACAGTACACATACATTTGTCCAGATGAAACATGAATACACATAAGTAAATAAATAAACATATCTAAAAATAATATAAATGACATACCATGAAAAAGGGTGGCAAATGCTATAGAAAGAAAGAGAACATTGGAGAATGTGGGATGCTTGCTTCAGACAGTGAGTTCAATGTCTGTGCTTTCTCCATCTTATTAAGCCAGTTGTCCCTTGGTACCCATGATGGATTGATTCCAATTCCAGAACCCTTAGAGATACCAAAACCCGCAGATGCTCGAGTTCTTCCTATAAGATGGATGTATTGATAGCGTTTGCATCGACCTACGCATGTCCCCTGACGCTCTTTAAGTCATGGCTAGGTTGCATAAGGCACCTCCCTCAATGCCACTGCACATGACAACGTAAATAGCTGTTATGCTGTGTTGTTCAGGAACAATGGCACGAAAACTTCATACAGGTGCAGCACAGAAATGACGGATGCAGATCTTCCTAAGAGACAACAGGAGCAAGGCGAACAGTGCTCACACAGTGGGAACCCAGGGATGGAGGGCCGGGGAAATGGCAGGCGCTACAGCAACGTGCCTTCGTGCGCCATCCCGTTCGTATATTTTTATTGCGGTCATAGGCGTGTGGCAAGTTCAGGGTTTGCTTTTTGAATCTTTCTGGACTATTTTTTCCCCTCAGATATTTTTGAGTCAAAGCTGGTTCAGTCCATAGATACAACTCATGGATGCCAAGAGCAGGATGTATTTTGGCCTGGCCTGTTTTAGCAGTTTACATGAATTCTCTCCTCACGTGTGCCGCCAAAGGTCTAAGGCACTCGCTATACGTGTTGATGCATTTGGGCTTTAAAGTCCCCGGTCCCATTTTAGATCACTGGAGAGAGTAGTAACTATTCAAACCACACAGGCAGCGGCGTCTGGCTAACCCCATCCTTCCAGCATGGGGTTAGCGTCCTTTGCACACTCAGCTACCATCTCTCACGTGCGCCACACAGGCTGAGGATATCCCTTCTGGCTGTGACAACCCTTTCTGCTTATATGTGGGGCAAGAAGGGTTAACCCCTTCCTTCTCACCCCAGAAACAATATCCAACTGTTGACAGCTGGGAGTGGCCTGCAGCTGGAACAACTCAATCACAATCTTCTGCAGCCTCCTCAAGCTTAGGCTGCCTGAGGGGGGCCGGGTCCTCGGCATGACCTCTGCCCTTTATTAGCCACTGCCCTTCCTATCAGATTTCTTCCTGATTCCAGTGTTGATTTCTGGGGTGGCCTCCTATTCCACCTGAGTCTTTGGGTCAGCTTCAGAAAGACAGGCAGCCTGGCACTAGAGCTAGGCAGGCAAACTCCTGTAGTTATTTTCATTCATCAGTGGTGTATGTATGTATGTATGTATGTATGTATGTATGTATGTATGTATGT